AAATGAGGACTACTTGTACATTAATCCTCTTACCTTGTAAGCCGCACGGAGTCACCGTGAGTTGGGCGGCCATATAAATTGCTTAAACAAATAAAAGAAATAAATAAATGTGCAGAGCTCCTTCCCTGGTATTCCCTGAAGAAGTGTGATTTGTGTAAGATCTAGAGTCACTCAAAATAAATGTGCCTATATTTATAGCATATCAGAATCACATATATCTGGAAAAAGAGAGGCCACTCATAAGAAATCTGACTTGAATGGACCGTGCACACAGAAGGCTTGGGAAATGGAAAGACTGATAGGTTGGAAATGCCCCAGTTACTGCTCCCTCCTTTTTTTTTTTTCATGTCTCTTCCAATGTTTTTCCTTTCAGGAACAGCAGGCAGCGGGAAAAAGAACCACAGTTGCAGAATGTGTTTTGGCTGGTGATGCAAAGAGTGCTCCATCAGCTAAGTGCATCATCAGTTCAACATCCAATAGGACACCAGTGGCCACCAGTATGTCCATGGGCAGCTCTCATGGTGCCTGCCAGGATCCGTGTCCTATTTTCACTATGACAGAGTTTTAAAGATTCCCCTCAATCAAATAACAACAAAATCCATAAATGAAAAAAAATGTCCTAGAAAAGTCAACTGTTGGTGGCTGACTTCAATAGAAAGCAAAATTCTCCCAGAATCTCTTTTCCCAAGGTTTCTTGAAAGGGGATGGGATAATTTGCAGAAACCTCAACCAAATGGATGGTTTTCACTTTAGAACCCAATATATCTTTTGTTAAGGCACAGATTTTTTCAGCCGCTGCATTAAGTGGGGAGGAACCTGTTCTCTCAGCTGATAAGTGAGAAATGTCCGGGTAGCCAGGGTCTCTGTCAGGCTGTGATAAGCTACATGTAAGCCTCCCACATCCTGCTTCAAGACTGCTGCTTCTTGAACTCATATGGAATCCATAGCTATCAGTATGTACGAAGAGCTAGTTTGGTGTAGTGGTTAGGAGTTGGGTTAGGGAGTACATGAGTTTTAGCCCTTTCGGGGTTGTTGTTGTTGTTGTAAGGGAAAATAGGAAAGAGTATTATGTAGGCCACTTTCACAAATAAAGATGGGATAAAACTCTAACA